ATCAATAAAGATGTTTTCTTCTAAGAGGAAATATATCTTGACATACAACTCTCTACTCTGGGTACTTCTCTTACCCTACCTTGGATAGAATCTGTAGTTTCAAGAATGATTGTTTCCAAATTAGAAGCTAACTATATTCCATAAGACCATTCACTTTTCTTTCACATTTTTCTCATTCTGACTGCACTTCTCCTAACAGACAAGACAGAAAACACATGCAGGTAATAAGCAAAATCAACGATACCGAATATGACCCACTGGGTTAGGACTTCAGATGCTAGTCTCCTGTCATGCTTCTTCTCCCACAGACTATGCACATTAATATTCCCACTTTGACAAGGGCACTGAAAAGCATTAGTTTGAAAATCTGCAAAGCCTTTGAGTTTTTTCCCCTCTCTTCCAACTCAGTCCCTATTACAATTCTATTTTTAATCAACCCCCGCCTCCCACTTTTTCAGCTGCTTGTCTGTAGTACTGGATACAGTATGATAAAATATGATGTTTTGCTAAACAATGGAAAAAAGATCTTGGCTGTAATGCACATTTGTTTTCCTTTCTCAATTGGCTTTGTGTTTGTGCAGAATAAATATACACAATAGGCCTATGCATCTTTCTACAAACATATATAGACACTGTATACAGACAGCAATGCAGCTCTCTTGTTTACTCTGCCTTTCTCATTTCCTCTGGATATTTTTGCACGCTGTCATTTGTGGAATACTGCTGAAATCCAAAGGGATGTCAGCTGAGCCTGCCTCACATTGCAAGCTGTTGGCAGGCTCATTGAGGACAGGGAAACAGTGAGGAGTCCACTGCCACTTTTCACAGACCGCTGCTGCTGGTTAGAAGCAGTCAGCGAGCTCAATGGGCTACACCAGCTGATTTCTTCTGATGCTCCTCAGCCTTGATTTTATTGTTGGTGTCTCTACAAGAACTCTAAAGTTGTTACTAAAAGTGCCAGCAGCTGCTGCCAGCACGTATGGAGAAGAAATCCAATATAAAAAAAGAACAGTCTTCAAGGGTTTCAAAGAGGGTAAAAATGCATGTTTTCTTATTCCCATAACCAGTCTTGACAGTACATTGTAAAACATTGCCTGTACGATGAAATTACTCTGGATTTGCTATTGGGCAACTACACTTTTTCTACATTTGTTAATTCCAGAGTTGTCTGCATTATCTAATGGTCTACCCAATTTAATTATTTTTAACTCTGCATATTACATGCCTCATCTCTAGCAGTCCCACAGAATCCAAATTTCTTGCCCATATAGCTTTTGGTGAAGCTCTTCTCTATTTGAGTGCCAAGCTAGAGAGCAGGAAGGAGAATTGTAGGTCTTCATGCTTCACTATGAGCTGACCTTTATTCCTGCAGGTCATGAAAATAACACCTGGCCCTCAGCTTCTTTTTGGCTGATACAATTATTAAAAAAAAAAAAAAAAGTCACAACTGAAATAGATTTTAACCAATGCTGCAGTTTGGCTTTCCTGGGTGAAGTCTTACTTAACTTCTTGCCTAATTAGACTGCACAGTTTTCAGTTATCCTGAGGTTAAAGGAGTGCACTCCTGTTCTTCCAGTTCATCTAGGTTGCTATGAAATCAGTGTGTACTGTCCACAAAGAGAAGAAATCAGGAGAATATTTGACAGTGTTTCAGGAATTCAGGTAGTCAAAAGCAGGAAATCCAAAGTTCTCTGAGTTTTCTTTTGTTTGGTATTCAATTTGAGGGCACCATTCATAAATCAAGATTTTAGAGCTCCCTATCCTAACGAAGAACACCTAAACCTAAGGACAGATGGAATTCTAAGGAGGAATAGTATGTCTAAGCATTTTGCATGTTCAAGTCATAATATTCTTTATTCCTCAACCAGATACTATTTTTCTTTCAAGAAAGGACTAGCACTACAACTATTCCATCACAATCAAGTTACTCTTGATGCCTCTCCAAAGACAAATCCCAGTGTCACAGTTAACATTTGTGTCCTAATGATTCTGTGCCATACCATGTGAAGTCAACACTACTTTCAACAACAGTCTCTTTATTTTCTGGTAGAAGTTGGATCCCATCTATTCTGTCCCTTTTTTCTGTCTAGCACATACAGACCACTGGCTTACCATATGCTTACATTCACTGGTAATGCACCTCCATCTCCCTCCTTTCAATTGATTTTTATTTAGAAAATAAACACTTAAGAACAGCACAGAAAATAGGGGAATTTGTCTGCAGTGTGCCTAGTAGATTCTAGTCACTACAAAATTACCTGAAATAGAAGTCAAAAGAAAGAAGCATTTTAAGTAATCCATAGGTTGTTTGTGTTTTTTTTTTTTCTCCTCTTGTCCATTCCTTAAGTCACTAGCTATGTTTCCATAGCATTAGGGAAGAGGGGAGTTGTATTTCTGAAATATTGAAATATTCTGAAATATTGAGCTTTATGCCTTAGATTTAATGGCATTGGTAGCCCAGCCACATAGTATGGGCTTTGCAATAAACAGACTTTAGGAGTCAAACCAGAAATTCACTATGGCAAAGCTTTACCAAGCAGCCTGCACAAAGGCTATGCTGCACTAAATACTCAATTCACTTAACAAAACTAAAGAGAGCAAGGAGGGTCTAACTTAAGCAGAACTGAAAGTCCAGAGATCTCCATTCTCTTCCTTACTCAGCTAGAAAAAAACTTTATTAATAGGGGCAGAGCATTCCAGCATCAGCAGATTTCTGTATCTGCCTCTAAGTAGATAAAAGCGAGCATACAGAGTATCATTTTATTAGCATTTATAAGGAAACTGTGTGGAAAAGATTGTTGCACAGTTATGTAAGTTACCCTTATACCACATTGTAGATTCCAATGAAACAAAGTACAAAAAGCAGCATGTGAGATCTGCTCCTGAAGCTATCCCTGGTTTCAGCTGAGACAGTTTCTTCTTAGTAGCTGGTACAGCACTGTGTGTTTTGGATTCACTGTGAGAATAACATTGATAGCAACAGCAGTGTGTTAAGCAATGCTTATATTAAGTCAAGGACTTTCAGTTTCCCATGCTCTGCCAGGGAAGAGGTGCACAAGAAGCCAAGAGGAAGAACAGTCAGGACAACTGTCCCAAACTGGCCAAAGGGATATTCTATACCACAGAACATCATGCTCAGCAGACAAACTGGTAAGAGCATCACTTGTTGTTCTTGGGTTATATTTTCCTTTTTTTTTTTTTTTTTTCCCCATCATTTTAGTAGTAGTATATTTTATTATTATTAGCATTATTATGTTTTACTTTGTTTTAATTATTAAATTGTTCTTATCTCAACCCACAAATTTCCACTTTTTTTTCCCCAATTCTCCTCCACATGGCTTTGGCAGAAGGGGAAACAAGAGAACAGCTGCACAGTACTTAGTTGCCAACTGAGGCTAAACCACAAGAGACCTGCTCATAAAGCAAGAATATTTTTCTTTACAGACTGAACTCTCCTAAAGCACTGACCATAGGGTAAAAGGAGAGGAACTTCCTCTACAGATTCTTCCTGGCAACTCCCCATGCTCACACTTATTAAGCAAGAACTTTCATCCTCTTCAGGTGCAGTAAGAAAAGGTACTCCCTACCTGCAAGTTTCATTTTGGGGGAGGTTTCTACTACCTATATGTTCTTCCCTTAGCCATGACAGCCTTGTTGATTTAACAGTCTAGTGTGTGTCACAGAGAAGGAAGAACAGCTGGCAGGTTTATCCTCTGCATACAAGTTGAAAAGCCTTTCATGAAGTCGCATTCATCTCCTTAACACCTCCAGGTGATCCCACCATTGATCTTTTTTTCATTTTTTTCCATTTTCCTTTTGCCTTGTTTTTATTTAGTCTTCCCACAGGGTTGGGGTTTTTTTCCCCATTTCTTCTTGGTTGCAGAAAGAGATGCAATTTACAATCCCATCCCTCTGCTGACAAATTTGCTCAGAAGACATTATGAAAAGGAGGAGCACATGCCAAAGTATATAATCACATTCAGGATAACAATCATATGTTAAAAAACAAGGTTTACTAGATCACGTGGGAAACAATATTTCCTTCTAGGAAAGTACTCCCTTGAATTCAGAAGTACTTGACAAAGAAAAACATTTTTCTCCATTTGCAGAAATATTTAATCTTTAATCAGTCTGTATTAGAAACTTCCTTATCTCTCATTTCAAGTTTATTTTAAGAAAATAATCAAATTGAAAATCAAAGTGAAAAATACCAAAAAAAATAATGTTTACAAAAATTCTGAGTTCTTGGTAGACAATCATCAACTTCCCCTACTGTCCCTTCTGAAAGCACAGAAGGGCAAGATGTGCCTACTCTCACAAATGGGTGCCTTTGAAAACAACCTCATATGCCATAATAAGAAAAATCATTGAATGTATTTTGTTTTAAAGTTTCACTGAACGTATGACTGGCCAGGCTGAATGATCTATGATACCCTGACAGATGGAGTCAGACAGAGACCTTCAGGAGAAAGGGGAAGCAGGAAGGAACTGAACAGAAACATTTTAGTCAGCTCTGTCAAAATGTTGGCATTTCTACTAAGAAAGAATTTCAGTATCCGATTCCGCCTGTTATTCTGTATCATTCTATCAAAAGACCATGTTTTTCTGACTAAATTACTATTAGCATTCTAAACAACTTTTATATTTTGCAAAGCTGTCCAAGCAAAAGTGACACTGACACTAAAAGCCCATTTTCATTTTGAGCACAAAATAATTGTTTGACTTGCAAAGCAGAACCTCATAAATCATTCCACTGGTAATATTCTTTTCCCCTGTAACTGTTATTTCTTCACAACAACTTAGCTTCTGTTCCATTTAACACCAATAATTCTAAAATGCAGGCACTCCTGAAACTCACGCATACCGTAACACCTTGCACGGAAAGATTTCTTCAGCCTACAAACCACATTTAACACCTGTAAAATAAATAACATTTATACTACAGAACTGTACCGGTAGTGGAAAGATTTGTTATTGAAGTCCCTTAGGGACAAACATACCTCAGAATTGTTGAGATGACACCTGTGTGTCCCCGAGAACCACCCCTCACTCGAACACTGGTCAATGTCCACCTTCTGCAAATTGATGTCAACCTTGACAACACCTCTGAAAAGAGAGAGAAACAGTGGTGAACATAACTCCAGATATAGGTTAAACTTCTTTATGATGCTGTAGCCTGAAAAGCAGAACTACATCTTTCCTTTAAATATGGAATTTGATAAAGCGTCTAAAAACAGTTTTGTGCTCCCCAAGCCACGATCACACAAACACATTCTTATTTTAGACTTTACTGAGATGTATTATATGGCAAGAGCTCAGTATATCCAATGTATTATGCGTAAGGTAGAAGTAAAGAACAAGTTATATACTCAAACAACGCCCTTCACATTTTACAAGGCAGTAAAGACACAAAATTTATACAATGAAAGACATGCACTACTTTTTCTGAGGCAGCAATCTCACCAGCCAACTCTGAATACAAGGTACCAGGAACCACATCTCACCCCCTGCCCAGAGATAACTACCCTCTCCCCTTTGCTCTAGGGAACCCTACTTGCTAAAACAATTGGCAAAAGCTTTTTTCTTTATTCTCCCTGGAGATACTCCAATGTCTGGTGACATTCAGGCCTCCTCTCTGCGGCTCCATCACCTTTTCAAGACTTGAGGTGATGCTGATCAGCCAGTAGCGCTTGAAGCCATCGAGTACCTTGGCCTTTTCAACATCCAGCGTCACAGAGTACACTTCTCCATTCAACAGCAAAGACCTTGGAAAAGACCTTTAAGATCACTGAGTCCAACCATTAACCTAATACTGCCAAAGCCATGACTGACCCATGTCCCCTAAGTGCCATATCTAGAGAAGTTTTAAATATTCTCAGTGAGGGTCACTCCACAACTTCCCTGGTCCAGCTGGCCACACTATTGCTGATACAAGATGTTCATGGTCCCAGTCATATTCAGACTGTCTCCATATTCCTCTCAGGTTACCTGACCCTGTTTCCACCTCTTGGGCACTTTCATTTTATACTTCAGTTTTGTCAGAATCTCCCTGTTAAGTCATGCAGGTCTGAAAATCATCTCATTTCAAAATATTTTCACAATACTTCTTCTAGAAATAACAAAAAAGTCTTCTGTTTCAAGTTAAACGCCTTTTGTTTCTCTTGTGTTTAAACTTTTCTTACGAGAATGTTTGTCTTTCACAAAATACAATCTTCATCAACTCAATACAAACTTTTCTACCTACACACTTCATCTGCACAACCTGAACCTCTAATATGGTTAAGTTGTTCTGGTTTTCCCTTTTCTCAGAGCTTTGCAAATTTCCGGGGTGAAAATCTACAGCAAGGAGAAACGGTACAGCCCAAGAGCAAAATCATGAAAGCAATCTCTAACAGTTACAATCTATCATAGGCTATCAATTTTTTCCCCCCCCCGTGGTGCACATTATTCTTTTTCTTTGAGCATACATGTGGCATTTACAGAAAGCATCATGGTGGTACAAGACTTCTACTGCATTCACTTGGGATGCTTTGCCATTTTATAACACCACCTCAGACCTGTACCCCACGGTTATTACACACAGAGTACACCAATACGATGTATTTTTGAAATTCATCTCTGATTAATACAGTAGCTGGCACAGCCTGTTTAGCCACCCACATTTTCAGTTATTTTTGACTCAGCATTCGGAAAATGGAACATATGGAAGAATACATCCTCCTAGAATGTATATGGACCAACTCCCTGTGTTACATTTATTGAACTAATTGGGAATAATGGCAGTGTTGCTATCTCAATAGAAGCGATTCAGACAAATATCAAGGGTATAAGCGTAGACTCAGCTTGTCAGCATAACACATTCATTCACACTGACAATGCTGCCTGCCTGAACCAAAGCCCCAACCATAAGTTAATAACAATAGTACTGGTAATTATGGACCATCTGGCAGGTAAGTATATTTTGTTAATCTTCTTATAACAATACATTTTTTTTCCTGCCACAATTTTCAGTCCTTAAAAAAAAAAAATATATATATATATAAGGATTGCGTGTTCATGTTTAACATGTAGTTAAGAAAGAATTAGTTGAATTGTACATAACAGATGATCATTGAAGAATTATGTCATCAAGGATTTTTTGTCAGGTCAGAGGTTTAAGAGGCTTTAATGTCTGTCTTTATTTCCAGTAGCACTGTTTGTTGGCATGCTGTTTGCCTTGAAATGTGTGCCAGAAATTGATTTAAGCTTATATTCCCAACCTATCTTGATAGTTTCAGTAGTTATAATATTTCATTGTAACAACATGTTGTAAAACCTCTATCTACAGAATAATTTTTTTTGCCTCTACTGTTACATCATAAAAAGAGTAAAAAAAGAGCAGAAGGAGCATGTTCTCTTTCTCCCAGTCAGCTTGAGCCAGGACTGCACAGAATAATAGCCTGCCAACATTTAAATGGTGATAAATAATATCTTTGTCCTCTAGATCTTCAAAAGCTTTTTTGGCACAGAGGCCATCACAGCTCAGCTAAAAAAGCAAAGTTTGTCTTTTAAGTTTGTACACTTATTTTTGTACGTTTAAGCACTGCAAGCAATCGTAATTAAGGTATAAGGCATGGTTATCACACACTGAGGCAGATATCATCCCCCAAATCTAAGCAGCTGCTTAAGACTCTTGCTGCCATGTTCATTCAGTCCAACATGATGTCCTCCATAAGTCTTCCTTACCACAAAACAAGGAGATAAGAAAAACAAGTTCTCTACAGTCATCCCAAATCTGCAAATGCCCACACCTCTAAACAAATGTCCACTGTATTTAGGATAGCCAAGGTTTTCAGGACAGATGCCTTTTCTGACCACTCATTTTGGAGGCTAACACTTTCAAGAATATTAATTTTCAAATAGTGCATGCTGACACCTGAGGCTCCTCCATCAACTGAGTATCCAAAAACAATGCTGGTGTCAAATTCCCAAATTACTGTCAGCTATAAGTCTTACAGACAATCAGCAGTTTCTGCAGGTTCAAGTTGCTTTCAAAAGTTCATATTTATGATTCTGCATCACTTAGACATTGTTAAAATTGTTACCTCTGCATATCCAGCCACATTCACAAAAGGCTACTGGGATATTACATACAACTCAATTTTGACCTGGTCATAGTTACCTCTAATTCCAGACTAATAAGACAGAAAAAGACTTTCCTAATTCCTCAGCCATAGCATGACTGCTGCTTTTCAGCACAGATTTTCATAGGAGAACCAGCTTTCACTAAAAATAAACCTAAGTGAAGAATAATGCATGGCAGTGTGGGCACATGAATTAGGATTCACCTGCAAAGGAAATCCCTCTAGGCCATTTGGAACAGTACTACAAGGGCAGAATACCTAAAGATGAATCCTCTGTTGTCTGAAGACTTATTTCCATCTGCCTTCATATTTATGGCATAAATATGCCATAGGGAGGAAAAATGCAGAGCTGCCTCTCTGGGGATTTCCCTCCAGTTTAGTTAGAGAGCTTCCTAGATATTCGAGGGGCAGTAATTTATCTTTTTCCTTGAGGATGCTTAAGTTGCTGCTAGCATCTTAACTCTGTCACAAAGCATCACCTTATATAGGAATGCCAGGTGTCAGTGATGGTGGGGTGGGGTACCACTTCCATTAGATTCTTCCTATGAAAAAAGGTCTTGGAGCCAAAATCAAGTTACTTACTAAGAAACCAGCACTTTTTTTTTTTTTAATGTTCCCATTACTATCCATGGGGAGAAAGAAAGGTTTAAGGAACAGTAGAGAACATGATAGAAGAATAAAGGTTAGGAACACAAAAATCTTTTGAAATAGAGGGATCCTACACAGGAAGGATGGTCTCAGCATAACTATACCAAGTCCTCTGAGCCTGAAGATTTATTCAAAGGTAATAAGGCCATTCTAAAACTTAAAAGTAAGTGGAAGTCAACATTAAAAAAAAAAAAAAAAAAAAAAAAAAAAAAAAAAAAAAAAAAAAAAAAAAAAAAAAAAAAAAAAAAAAAAAAAAAAAAAAAAAAAAAAAAAAAAAAAAAAAAAAAAAAAAAAAAAAAAAAATAGAGAGGCATAAACCTGGGCAAGGAACATAATATAAATTACAAGAACGTAAGACAAACCAAAAGACATCTTTTGGAACCAGCATGTTAAAAGTATAGGCTCTACTAATTAAAAACACTTCGAATACATCAGAAACATGAAAGCTGAAGTTGAACCTCTAAGGTCAACACACAACTAAGATATA